TCTTTAGAAAAATCTTGAGAAAGTGGCTCATCAAGCTAACAAGCCGATAATCGCTACATTTGTTTGCAGAGCTTTTCCACGGAAGCATCACAAATGTTGATATAAGCCAGTCAGAGGGAATGATGCCCGATCGGTAAACCATATTTGTTCACCGTGGGGGAAGACTCTTCATTTATTAGGATTTTAATAAGTTCTGAGTAGACACCGACTGGACCTGTCGCTTTCCCGTTTTTGTATAACTGAATGTCGTGTTGGACTTCTTCCTTAGTTATATAGGAATTTCCGATCTCTCGTCCTAGAACAGGTTTTCAATGCAACTGCATCACTATTTTACTTTATCGTTGACATCAAGAATGATCTTACCTTGACTGTCCAACAGAATGCCGGTCTGTCGAGATTTGTATACACCAGCAGCTTCTTTAATTTTCTTATGTATATTAAAACTGTCATATTTTGCCCCGAGGTCTTCGATTTCCTCAAACCGTTCGTTTAGCCAATTTTCTTTAGCTACCCTGATTTTGTTTCTTATTTCAAGATTCATCTGACGATATGCTGGCTGGGTCTCTTTGCAGGCGTCTTTTTTCCTTCAAGTCGAGGATTTCATCAGTCATCCAAGCTTTTTTCCTTCCCCTAGTGTTGATAGAAATTCCGAGCTGACGCTAACAAAGGCTGCCCTGATAGCGGTCCATACAGTCTCCACTTCTTGATTCTTTGCCCAGTTTATTACGTTCAGTTTATTATCTAATTTGTTTCTAACTTCGGCCAGAGTTGTTAAGTTGATTAGTATTATCAGATCCAGTCTCGGGCTGTTCATTTTATTTTTAGTGTCAACTAGATGTTGGTTTGAAAAGGAATTGTGATCCGAATTTATATCTACGCCAGAGTAAGTCTTTGCAGATTTGATGCAATATCATTGGAATCAGCAAAAGCAGAGCTATCAATGAGTAACTTACATGTGCGGTGTCCTATTAAAAAAAATCGGACCCGACATCTCAAAATCGGGGCCAAATAGAAAAACACTGAGGATATTACTGGATTCTTCTTGAAAAAATGCGTTTAGAAAGTTTGTACGGAAATCAATTATTTACATGAATAAAAAAGTTATGAAGCTTTTCTTATTAAAAGTGTCCAAATTGGACCACATGCTAGAAATTAAAATATCATTTTTTATGGAGTACCTATATACTGTTCTTATTTTATCAACCAAAGTAAAATTACAATATTTTACCAGTAGATAATGAAAAAAAATCTTTGACCTAATTTTTCAGTATCACCCTGTATCGCTACAAGGTCGGTGCAATGAAATAAAATGCTTATTTTGACTTTTTAAATAATATACTAAAGTTTCAACAAAATCTGTCGGTGACCGAAATCTATAAGAAGTATGAGATGTTCTTTGTTGGAAATTGAAGTATAGGTGCTTGAAGAAGGAGCTCAATATATACTCCTGGACAAAATTATCGCACCACTGCTTATGTGATGCTTATATACAGTGGTGCGATAATTTTGTCTAGGAGTATATTTATTCTCACTTATCAGGGGTTAAAATTTATAGGTGCATTTCCACAGAGGGAATATTGTTTTATTTTTTGGTTCATATAGGTATCAAAACGCTTATATTGTGAGCACGTAAAGGTTGGAATAAAATCTATATAATATACAGGGTGGATATTTTGCAAAAACCTCGGACACGTCAATTTTTGATTTTAGTGGCCGTTTTTTTGATGATAATACCAGGTATACAGGGTAACTCAAAAACAAGTTATGACAGCTAACTTTATTTTTTTTAAATAAAAACACCAATTTTTTATTTCATTTTCAAATTCTACGTTAAATTCTGAACCTATTTCATGTATCATATCCTATACCTATCTTCAACTGTTCCGGAAATATTGGCAGTTGAAAATTGACTTTTTTGCAACTTTGACAGGCTGTAAAATCTAAACGGTTAATTTTAGAACAAAACCGATTATACATTCTCATCTTAGTTTTCCATAAACTATCATTTGACACCAAATTTGAATTTAATCCATGGTTAAAAATTCCGGCTAAATTTAATCTCCGGTTAAATCCAAAGTTGGTGCCAAATGATAGTTGCCTGACATAATCGTATAAAAATATGTCAAAATAGAAGGTTTTTCGGACATCTTTCGTCGGAAAACGGATGCATGAGACTCCGGCCTTAGTTAGTATGTCATTGGTCATAGGACATATTATCTAACACTAGTGACAGTTCGGACACTGGAGCTGTGGAGCTCCGACGCCTGGCTGAGGCGCTAGCGGTGGGGATAAACGATCCCAGGGCTTGACGCCCCCGAAAAATAACGGTTGTTTACATATCAAAATCGTGATCCAGGGCGCCCTGGGGCGCCCAAGCCCCTGAAAAGAAAGCAGCTCTGGTGTGTCTTAATTTCAATCTTAGTTTTTGAGGGCAGCGTTTTCTGTTGTTAAACTTCCTATACTTTTGACGGAAGTTATATACAAAAGCATAGGAAGAAGAAGAGTAACCGAAAAGTTGACAGAGCAGACACTCGGCTCAACACACGTATTTCAGTTAGTGAAGAAAACAAGAATAAAATGATAGACTTAAGGCCGTTTGCACCGACCACTTTAAGGGAAGTTTAACGATAATCAAAGTTTAAAGTGACATTTTTACATGTACATTTGTCACTTTGAACGTTGATTATCGTTAAACCTCTCCTAAAATGGTCGGTGTAAACAGCCATTATAATGTTAATTGAAGCTACACAAAAAGCCTAAATATTGCCTATATCGTATAATTTATATTCAATAGCTCTATTTGGAAGCTGTAAAAATACTACCTTGGAAGCGAATCACAAATAATAACAGAAGACAATTTTTTCTACTTTGACGCAATTTATAAGTATGTTCATATCTATATACAGGGTGGGGACTTTAACTGGAACTAATTCGCTAGAGCCTTCGAATAAAATAGGTATGTGGGCAAAACGCAAAAACACGTCGATCAAGATTTTTTGCTTGAGTTTTTTTCACAATAATTTTTTTATACAGGGTGTTCCAAGAACAGCTGTACGGTTGTCAATTTTATTTTTCCAAATGGTAGCCCCTGTATATTATGACATTTCTGGATTCTGCAGAAAATTCTAGACATATTTCATTCACAATGTCATATACCTATCTTCAACTGTTTCGGAAATATTGACAGTTGAAAATGGACTTTTTTGCAACTTTGACAGGCTGTAAAACCTTAACGGTTAATTTTAGAGGAAAATCGATTTCACATTCCCATCTTAGATTTTCATAAGCTATCATTTGACACCAACTTTGAATTTAATCCATGATTAAAAATTCCAGTTAAATTCAATCTCCAGTTAAATTCAAAGTTAGTGTCAAATGATAGTTTATGAAAATCTAAGATAGGAATGTTAAACTGGTTTTCCTCTAAAATTAACCGTTTAGGTTTTACAACCTGTCAAGGTTGCAAAAAAGTCAATTTTCAACTGTCAATATTTCCGAAACAGTTGAAGATAGGTATATAACATTGTACATGAAATATGTATAGAATTTTCAGCAGAATCCAGAAATGTCATAATATACAGGGGTAGCCCCTGTATATTATGACATTTCTGGATTTTTAATCATGGATTAAATTCAAAGTTGGTGTCAAATGATAGCTTATGAAAATCTAAGATGGGAATGTGAAATCGATTTTCCTCTAAAATTAACCGTTAAGGTTTTACAGCCTGTCAAAGTTGCAAAAAAGTCCATTTTCAACTGTCAATATTTCCGAAACAGTTGAAGATAGGTATATGACATTGTGAATGAAATATGTCTAGAATTTTCTGCAGAATCCAGAAATGTCATAATATACAGGGGCTACCATTTGGAAAAATAAAGTTGATAACCGTACAGCTGTTCTTGGAACACCCTGTATAAAAAAATTGATATGGAAAAATTTCAAAAAAAAATCTTGATCGACGTGTTTTTGCGTTTTGTCCACATATTTTATGCGAAGGCTCTAGCGAATTAGTTCCAGTTAAAGTCCCCACCCTGTATATAAAAATTAATGCCACTTTTCGTTGTAATTTTATAACTCAAGAACGGGCTCACCTAGCCAAACCAAATGTTTAGGCTTTGTTCGGACTATTTATTAGATGGTTTATGTGAAGTTTGTACAAAATCGGTCGAGCGGTTCTTCATTTATCACATTTTTTGTAATAAATGAATTATTCAATAAATGGAGGATCATTTTGTTAATGGGGATTTTGCTGTCAAATTGAAACTTTTTTCAGCGTTGACAGTACCAGCATGTTGTTATGTCATTAATGTGGTCATTTCATTGCTTATTTTATTTATTCATGAAACAAATTTACTAAGCCCGCATACGGCGCCATCTCTTATAACCGATACCAAGTTTATTTTGTATTTTGTATTTTGTATACTGCGCCATCTCTGATACCTGGAACGAAGTTCGGCATTGCGGATACAGTAGAACAATGCTGCTCAGAAACTGGAGCTATTTCGAACAGAACTATTTCACTATTCCTATCAGATAGAGTGGTGCAGAAAGAGTAGATCAGATAGAGTAGTGCAGATAGAGTAGAACAGATGGAGTAGTGCAGTGCATGCAGTGCAGTGCATGCAGTGCAGATAGAGTGAAACAGGGCTGCGCTAGAGATTTTTTTTGTTTTCTTTACATTCTTTGAACATTCCTGTGCCTGAGTTTATTTATTTGGTGGTACACTTTACACGAATAATGCCCACAAGCTGTCTAAAAAAGGATGATGTAAAATTTTAATTTTAGGTGACTTCTGATCCAGAGAGTAAACATTAGTTTTCTTCAACTAAAGCCAAATTCACCATCGAAAAAAACTGATTTTAATTCAGCTAACACAACATTTAATAGGTATATTTAATAATTCAGAGGCGGTACAAAGTTCGCCAGGTCAGCTAGTTTATTTATAGAAATCAGATTAAAAGAATTTTTTGCGCCTCTTATTGTTGAAATTCTGTTTCAGGAAACAGCAAAAATGGCTTTCAACCAGCACGTGCAAGATATAATGAACGAACAAGAAAGGGCCATCGAAAAATCTGAGACCGACTGTATGTTGAAATTTGGACCAAACACTAGAAGTAATGATCCTTATCTTGATCATGTAACAAAAAGTAAGATTATAATGATTGTCCTTTTGAAAACGTGTGAGTGAATACCTAAATAAATATTTTCAGAGATGATGTGTCCGCCATTTTTTGATCTCATTTATTGCTGGCCACCACAACTACCGAACACAACTGCTTCCGTATCCTGTCCACGATACGTCATTGGATTCATACAGGTGGGTAATTTACTTCGAAAGATAATTAGGAAAACTTTTCCTGTTTTGAGTAAAATGTTCCGGTCTATATTGCAGCTCAACTTTAGATGCTGTGTAGTGTATTGAACTTTTTTGTAATAATTTCAACCATTTTGCCATAGTACATATTTGAAAAAATTTTGTATACCTACATGGTTTGCTTGGTGAATATAGTAATGCTTCGGAACCATGACTTGGAGATATTTTTTAAACTAAAACTATAAAAAAGTTGGTCAACTAACAGCAAAAGATTATTCTCATTCAATATAGCATAAATAAATAGTCAGTACCACGACCACAGACTCTGAAGCAATTAACAACTAATGCGTTATATGATAAAATATGCGTAATTAATTATAATTTAATCAGTTTTTCTCGGTGTTTGTACAAAGCATGCGAGAAAACATCTTGCCCATTATACACTATTTTGCTTGTTTTCATAAAAGTTTTTTCTAAAATATTCCTTTACCAGTCAAATGGATTTTGATTTTAGCCCAAGAAATTTATGGGTTTTTCAAAAAATTTTGCGAGGGCAGGCTGATTTTTTCAGGGCTAATTGGAGACTGTGTCCTGAGTATTGAGCCAAAAAATCACACTAGAAAGCCTTGTGCGTTCTGCCCTATTGGCCTTTTTCTTATTATTTTTTTTTTGACGAAATGACCTCAACAAAACTTGTAGATAATGACATTCTGATCAACTTTGGCTTATGCCTTTTTTTACTAGCTATTTTAGTTTAGGCGTTGCGGCCATTTTAGTGCTTCAGAATTCGCAAAAAAATTAAATAGCAAACCTGCAGATTATTGTACATAATAATCTCTATTACTTTGCTTGATGATATTTTATTGACACCCTATTTTTTTCGCTTGTACGGCCTTTCAGGCATCTGCAAAATGTTTTTTCCCTAAAAAGGTCCAAGTATAGGGATTTTCCAGTCTTGCTGGCCGTTGGATGGGACCAGTGCAAGGACGTATACGTAAACAGCTGCGTAGGCCGTGTTTAAGTTGAAGCTGTGATAAAAGCTATGAGAGTGTCGGTAATAGCAGTGGTAAGTACTATTCAAAAGTAGCCTTCCTCAATGCGAGGTTTATTGTGGTGTTTCCTAGCTGTCCTTAGAGTGCGTTCTCTAGGCCCTTCTTTTTATTAGACTAGCTCCAGAGCAAGGATACTGGCCACTCCATCTAGCTTTCCGGATTGGGCTTTACCTCTCCTTGTTTTTAAAAAATTTAGTGATTCTGATGAAGAATTTTCACTATTATCTCCAAACACTGCAAAATGGTATATTAAAAACCACTTTCGTAAAAAACGTAAATACTGTGCACATCCTATCAACGGATTTCGGAGAAAATTTGGAGAATTTCATCGTTTATATAATCAAAGAAAATTTGTGGAAATCTTTTTTAATTCCAGAAATTTCCCTTGTAAAATTAGTTTCAGCATCGAATTCCTAACCGACAAAAATTCTTCCTTGTTCAATTTATATTATCATTTTTGAGCAAGTATCCCAGAAAATTAAACATTTGAATATGTTATAAGCACTCGTCCAATGATAGTCGATAAAAGCAAAGAAATATAAACAGTTATTGCTTCTCGTCGCTCTTATCGCTGGTCCACCAAAAAAAGCTGATCTACTCACGATAAGTTCGATACCAGTTTAGTTCAGGTTCGGCATTATTTGACGATATATGGAGTGTTCTCAGCTCACCGAAAATGAGTACGTGTTTTATATTCAAAAACTTATTAGTCGTTGGCGAGGTCATGGAGGTGAAGACGAAAGGAGTTGGCGGTCAGTATCACCAGAGGCGATAGTGAACATGAAGAAATGCTGCGAACTGCACGCACTGTGCGCGTACATGTACGCTGTCGGAAAAAATACATTAATAGGAAAATGGCACGTGCAGCTGCACGCCGCAAGGCCATAGACGCTCCACCGTCGTCACAATTATTGATGTCAGACGTAACTTATGCTTCTCCATCAACAAGAGCAGACATTGCTTATCCATCATCTACATCCCATGAAGAGGATGTAGGTGTGACAGTACCAGAAAGATTCCAATTTAAGAAACGGTGAATTTTTTGTAGTGAAATTGCGTCTTTAAAAGATTCCAGATGAAAGATTTCCATTGTAAATAAAATTGATATTGGGGACACTTTTGTGGCTCAATTGCAACGATGCCAGAAGGTCTATGCACGTGTTGCGCTTGTCCGTATAAATAATGTAGCAGACCTTAGTGCGGTTCATGCGCATTACCATCGTAAGTGTGAAAAACATGTATTCGGCCGAAAAGTTCAAGAGCAATCGGCAGTATCCTATCGTGCTGAGTTAATTGATCTCGCTATGCGTGACATTTATGCATATGTGAGAGACAATGCTGGCGAAGGGCATTTCGCCCTTGCTCATTTAATTCATCAAATAAAGGGAGACTATAAGCCTGTTGTTAAAACCATTAAATGTAGGTTGGAGGAACATTATGGAGAGGAAGTGAGTATTTATGAATCACGTGGCATAGGTACTGGTGTGTACTTTAAAAGCGTCGGAGCCAAATTGTTGAGAGACTGTTCGAACGACAGCAACATTGAGGAAGACTCAATTAAATTAATGAGAAATGCGGGACGCAGTCTTCGCCGCCATATTCGTTCGCAACCCTATGACACAAGCACATATCCCCCATCTGACAGCTTTTTAGATGACGTACATAGCGTCATTCCAGAAGCACTGGCCGCATTTTCAGAGGAGCTTACCTTGAAGGAGAAAAGTGGTTCTTTGCAGACCTGGAACAGATTATGTTCATCTATTTCGCATCAAATTATATATGGAGTAAGACCGCGCTCATTTTTGTCAACGCTAAGATTGGGAGTAGGTACTTTTCTAAACAAAAAGTTTGGTTCCAGATTACTTATTGAAGTTCTTTCTTCTTAGGACGTTGCTGCTTTATATAACGAGATACGAAAGTATGAAATCGCTGCAATAGAACGACCTCAACGCCATATTGACGAGTCTGCTTTTATGCAGTTTGTATTTGATAATGCACACTTCAACATTAACACTTTGGATGGACATAATACCTTCCACGCGATGGGCGGAATACATTGCGTTACCCCTTGCAATGCCATCGAATCAGACAAAGTCATCATACGAAGCCCACAGTTGAAATCCAATATGGTTAGCGACGAGTATGGAAAACTGGAAATCATCCCTTACCAGCTTGAAAAAAATTCCGGTCTTCAATGTTTGCGTGTTAGTGATGTGGAGGATATGCGTACAACTTCGAGAGAAGTGTTGCCAACGGGAGGGGACTTCATTTGGTTATATGGTAAATGGGCATGCATTGGAAACGTACCCGGCTGGAACGGATTTATGGAGCAGGGTACTGCTGGTAAAAGCTCTGAACGAACAAAAATACTGTTCCTGCCGTTCATTCAGGAATGTCCTACCGAGTACAATACAATCCATACATCATTACATTTAGCGGCTGCTACTGCAAAAAATTCCATCAAGTTACTTGCTTCGTAACGTACGACCAGCCCTTGTACTGCAGGGCCCGTGACATTATTGCTGCTCCCAACAGAGACCACGAACTCGCAAATGTGGTAGTGAGATTAGAGGGATTCACCCCCTAATGTCATTCTTAGGCGCCATTGGGTATATAATGTCGGGCAGTGGACTAAGCGATTTGCTAAAACTAATATATGCTCCAAATTCCGTGGACAAAATTTTATCTGGGCATGCTTACGCTCGAGCCGTCCGTGCCCATTTTCTTGTCCACCACAGCCTTGCAAAAATTGTTCTAGACATGGTAGACTTCACCGATGAGGACAGAGATCTTATGGAATCATATATCTACGGGCGACAAGAAACACCCATTTTAGAATCTTCCACCAACGTAGACATCCAACGTGCTCGCTATATGTTAAGTGATCAGTTCGAACATGGTTGGATATTTTACATTGCGCCTAACCGATAAATTTTGGGCGGTTTTTACCCAGATCAGGCAATTGAATGTGGACTCATGAAAGAGTTGAAATTACCAACTAGAGGCTTGACTCACGGTAGAGGGATTGCAGATAACACCACAAGAAAATGGACTTTAGGTGCTATATACTTGATAGACGTGAGTACGCAAGTAGAACGTTTTTGTGAAGACAGTACTGGCACTACGGAGCAGCACGTTGATATTCGACCCAGCCGTGTATCCAGAGACAACAGCGATGTTGGAAAAATTGATCACTGGTTGGCGAAACATACACTGTTCACGCACAATGGAGCTCTTTTTTCTATTTCTAAAGGACTGACAGCAGGCAAGGAAATTAACTGCCATTCGGCTTTTGAAGTTGGCCAAGCACTTGTTGCGAAGAACGTTAGCAAAACTTTCGAAGATATCAAATGTAATCGTACAGACCGCGATCTTGCGCTCTCTGCCATTGCCAATACCATAAAAATCGACCAAGCCAATGTGATTATCAATCCTTTAACTCTATTTCAACGAATGTGTATTTCCAAAAAATCAGACAGCGATATGAAGCAATTTCTTTCCTATGAGCTTGCTCCGTATCCTATGTCCATTTTTACAAAGGAAGGTATGCGCAAGGGAACTAAGTCCACCCTGTACGCTTCTTTCGCACCTTTGGGTCCAGACGTTACAATTAGTAAACATTGTTGTGAAGTTGTGGACGGCGGCTGGCTGCTTCATAAAGTGGTGTGGAATAAACAGGTCCCGGTAGGACAGATTTGCACTGGATACGTTCAGTATTAGAAGAGACTTTGTTCCACGTGTTATTATCTTCGACGGGTATCCCGATGATGAAAGGCACTGGGGAACAAAAACCCATGAACGATTAAGACGTGTAAATAAGCAGATGGCCCCTGACTATATGTTTGACGAATTCACCGTGCCACAAACCAGCCAAGAAAAATTTATTGGTAACGAGAAAAACAAAAAAAGATTCATTCGTTTCCTTGCAGCGCACCTAAGATGAGCAGAAAT